CATTATTTTAAATAACATTGTGTTTTTTTCGGAAATTTTAAATTTTAGATTTTTTTTATTTTCTTATATTTTACGGGATAAAAGTAAAGTTTAATTAAAATATTTTTCAATTTAAAATAAAGGGAAAATATGAAAAAGCCGTTCAAAAGCATATGTTGCCATCCATCAACAATCAAACCACGGAATTATTTTAAACGGATGTCAACCGTGTAAAAAAAAAAATGTTATGAATGTTGTCGCTTACAACATTGTGTAAATTAATTGAAACAAAATGAATAATTCCGTTACTATTTAATTTTTTTCATTTTTGGCCAATGAACATGACACAGTGAACATGTTTGTACTTCGAATATCCGAGGAATTTATCGAGATATTGAAGCTGATGCTGCTATAAACTATATGCCTAAGAACCGCTTCGGAAGACGACGGATCTCAACCACGCCTTATGAAGCAAGAAAGGTTGATGGAATATTTTCACAGAAGTCCAAGAAACCTATCGAGATATTGGTTGCTGCTTGCGATTCAACTGTCTCATGTCAGTAATATGCTTGGAAGATTCTGGCGAATATATGCAGTAGTGATGAATTGCAAATTGTGCTGAAAATTTAAAGCTTGTCCTTGAGGACACATGGCACAGTAGATAAAGGCGTTGGTTAGATCTAGTGACAAGACCCAAAGAGTGTGAGTTCAATACCCGGTTAAGGCAGTGGAGAACTTTCAGAGGGAAATTAACAGGAGATAGCTGATAACTGACATCCATCAAACATGGAACGTGGAACTAGAACAGTCTACCCCATTGAGCGAAATAAAGGGTTCAGTTCGACATTCCAACCACCTGAAGAAGGCCGGAGCGTACAACGGCCGAAACGTTGTGATAAATAGGGCGACAAAGATGAGGACAATAGTCCGAATAATGTAAATAATGTACATAATACCTCATCTCAGAAATATAGACAGATACTGAAAGGCCGAAACGTTGTAATAAATATGGCGACAAAGAGGAGGACAATAGTCCGAATAATGTAAATAAGGATTTATGTATTTATAACGATAAAACTCCGACTTACATCGATCCATTCACTACTCTCTGATCCATCAATCTATATGGATTTTACTTGGAAGATTCTGGCGAATATATGCAATAGTGATCACTTGCAAATTTAAAGCTTAATAAAAAATCCTCCGTTGGAAATTAGGCAGAGCGGACAAGAACGAATTTTAAAATCAATGTTCTGATGAACTAGCTGAAGGTTAAATTCATCAAGGACTTAGAACAGTTTACGGAAATCCTTATATCTATAGCAAAGCAATGGATTCCAAAAAGTTCAGTAAAAAAAAAAATGTAATAGACCTTGGTTCAGAGATGAGTGCAAGGAATCTATCCGGCTGTGAAGAGAGCTTTGAGAGATTTCAACAAACAGCCTTCAATCTCTAATTTGTTACAATTCAAGCAACTTCGAGCAAAATCACGGAAAATAATTAAATAAAGCAAAAAAATAATGTTAGAAAAATTACGCCAGGAGATTTAATTCTGCTACAAAAACAAAATCTACGTGGGATATGATAAAGAAAATAGCTGGTAAACATTATACTAACACTATAAAAATCTCTCAACTCTAAAATAACCAGCAAAATGTATATCTCCTATCAATTAGCCAAAAGAATCTCCAAAAATTTATCTACCAAGAATGGTAGCCAAAAATTTCTGAAGCTCAAAGAAAAAGCGAACAAATAAAAATTATATTTTAAATCAAATAACACAGAAAGATATAACCTACGGTTCACTGGTGAGGAACTAAATGATTCTTTCAAGAAAGTCCACAATACAGCTGGGGGACCAGATGACGTCCACTATCAATTCATAAAACAGTTGCACAATAAATCATTACAACTGTTAGAAAATTTGTATATCAGCATATGGACAAGTGTCATCTTGCCAGATATGTGGAGACAGTCATCCTTATTCTAAAACCTGGAAAAGATGGCAAAGACCCTGAAAGCTACAGGCCGATAGTACTAACTAGCTGCCTATGTAAAATTATGGAGAGAATGGTCACCAACAGGGTGACTTGGTATCTGAAAAATAACGGCCAAGTCAGTGACTACCAATGTGCTTCCAGGGAGAAAAAAAGAACTACCATGGATCACTTAGTACGCCTCGAAAACATTGTAAGGGAAGCCTTCGTTAAGAAAGAACATCTTTCTGTCATTTTTTGAATTAGAAAAGGCGTACGGTACAACATGGAATTTTTTTATCTTGAATGATTTGTATGAATTGATCTAAAAGAAGGCTAATTCAATACATATTGAATTTTCTAAAAGACCTGAGGTTTTAAATCCATATAGGAAGTACGTTATTGGAACTGTAACATGAAGACGAAGGGATTCCACTTCGAAGCATTCTTTCGTTGAGGTTATTTTGTATACAAATTGACCCCATAGCTAAACCCGTAAGCCCAAGTATGAGACGCTCTCTATATGTCGACAATTTTCTTATTATGTACAGATCTCAACATAGGCATCCCATTGAAAGACAACTCCAACAATGTCTCTATAAAATACATAAAAGGGCCACTGAAAATGGGTTTACGTTTTCCAAAAGGAAAGCCAAATGCCTACATTTCTGCAGATTAAGAACATTGCATAATGACACATATTTAAAAATAGACGGGACAGAAAACCCAACAGTGGAACAACAAAAAGGCATTAACTTTGATAAAGAAAATTAATGTTCATTCCCCCTCTAAAATATTCGAAAAGAAAATGTAGGAAAGCCCTACAACTTCTGTGGGTAGTGGCCCATACTGAATGGGGAGCATATCAACTAATACTGATCAAATTGGAGAGATTAGTGCATCGCTCAAAACTGGTCTACGCTAGTTTCATATATGTGGGGGACTGAAATTCACGGTGCAAGTCCTCAGATTATTACTCTGAGCTTTCAGAACATTTCCAGTGGAGAGCTAATACATAGAAGCTAATGAAACAATCTCTACATTTACGGCGCATTATACTGGCACTACAGTGCCATATAAAAATGAAATCCTGCCTAAATAACCCAGCTTACAGCAGTATCTTTTAACGTAATTACTGTGATTTATTCCGAAAAAAAGATAATGCTGTACAACCCTGCCGACAGAGGATGGAATCAATTTGCTGAAGAGTTAGCCATCACACTCTCAAATATAAAAGAAATGAGTGCAGCCAGTATTTCGCCATGGACTATCAAGCGACCCGGAGTTCTTCTCGAATTACCTAATCTCCCAAAACAAATAAACACGCCCACTCACATTCCAGTATAAGTTTCAAGACATATTGGCAAACTTCCTTAACCATGCACCTAATTAAATCAA